TACTGAATCAAATATTTTGATAAACTTCACAACAATAACCAAACATTAATCTCAAAGTTTGAATAGAACTCCCTAAAGTGCAGCAGTAAAATGTCAGTGCAGAAAAGACCAAGACTGATATTTAAATAAACTTTACAATTTCAAGAAGGGGGTAGAAAAATGGTACAGTTAATGTTACTTGTAAGTTACTGATTATATGCAACACAAAAACTTAACCAAAGTAGTATAAGTCTGTACTAGCTTTCAGACATTTTACTATAAAATAAAGCCTCTAAAGAAGGTAACAAATGCACTAACTGCATTATGCGCCATCTGTTTGTAGTAGATACGCACTGCCTCTTTATCTCTCTGTACAAACTATCATTTAAAAATCCCATCTATATGCATGTCGAATTTTTCCAAATTCTTAAGAATATATGAAGCAAATAAATTAAAAAATGATAAACAATGCATTCGTCAATTCTAAGACGTATGATTTATTACTTTTTAACAATCATGATGAATTTACAACTGACGGCATGTCTGAGGTTTAACTGGCAAGTGCTTTTTCTTAGCAGCAATGGCGCCTTAAGATTTGAAATTCCAAAACTAACTGCCTTTTCAAAACATACAATCTACCAATTTTTCTTTCTAAATGTTATTTAGAACAACATTAACAAATACTCAATGAGAAACTGTTTTGCCTAAAGCCCCAATTAAAGTATCATTCTTGCTACTGATATTCAAACATAAAAATTATAAATGAAAAACCTTGCTTTTATAATATTTAACCCACACAAAGATATCTTCACACTCTCAGATCCAGAAGAAAAACTGTCCACTTTAAATTTAATAACAAATGTTAATTAGCAATTCTGTGAAAAGAATCCAGCAATGTATGTTTAGAATATACACAAAAAATTCAATGTTAATTATACAATTAAATTCTTTTAAATAAATCATGACAAGTGATATTTTTATCAAAAATATTTACTGAAATCTGTGTTTTCACACATATTGGAGTTTTGTCCCCACCAAAGGTAAGGAGTCCACACAGGAAAAGAACAAAATCATAAAATTTGACCATTACGTGGAATGCTCCTAAAAGGTGGATACAAATGAAAGGACTGAAAAATATCTAATTAATGTATGTATTTCCTATACACTGAGGTACAACAGCATGTCACAAGTAGTAATCCTGATTTGTGGGCTACTTAAAAATCACCTCTTATAAATCAACATATAACTTCACAAAATTATTTTTTCTTCATTGGTTACTGATCTCTACTGCCAAAACAAATGATGCCACATTATAGTAAGTGTGAAGTTATCTTTGGTGCAGAAGTGTATATTACTGTATATAATCAAATTAATGTTTATGATACATTACCACTGCTCCATTATCTGGCATCATTGGAGTTCCCATATTTGCAGCTCCTTCTGGTCCCATGGCAGGACCAGGACCCATTGGTGGGCCAGGTATAGTTCCTCTGTTGTTCATATTCATACCCATCATTGGAGGAGGACCTTGGTTACCAGCAGGTGCTGGGCTAAACGCATCTATGTAAAACAATCTATACTTAGAGCTGTCCTATCTTAGTTTAGTAAACATTAAAAATTTAACAATACTTATGCAATCTATATAGCAAGACCATTATTATAAAAATCATTTTCCTTCCTTAAGAAGGGAAATGGAACATATTAATCTAATCTGCAACAGAGCATTACCCACACTCTAGAATGTTCATCCCCAAAACAAATGAAGCAACAACTATCAATTATTTTAGGTCATTTAAGACTATAACAGCTTGAAAATTTTTAAACATTATTTGCTTTGGTCTGCTTTTAAACCAAATAATCCCTAACAATGGTGACTAAACTCTACCAGTTAAAATGAACAAAGGATCAGCAATTAGAAAACCACTTAACTGTTTTCAAGTCATGGCCAAGAACATTAGCACATAAATGAAGTTGTGAGAGGGGAAACCACTTCCTCTGAGATATATAAATAAAGATCACTATAACTAAGCATTTGGTTTTATATAAAGTTATTGAATAAACCCCTCCCCCAAATTACAGGAAGTACTTTAAAAATACAATCCAACCAAAAATAAATTAAAATGACTCATTATGACAAAATTTATATTTTTAAAACAACTGAAGCCAAATACAGATAAAATATTAACCCAGCTATCTGGATCTTTTCGACATGCTCGAATTCCGGCAATGAGGACAATCATTTGATATACTTTAAACTTTTTCATCAAAAAGATATCCACCTATCTCATATTAATTGAGATAGTGTTTGCACTGTAATACCACATAAATGATGGTCACAAATACAACATTTTTAAGTATTTTCTTTAAAATTTTTTCCTAAGGGTTCATGTTTATCACCAAAACTTCAAAACAAAGACTAATTCCAATTTAGGGTTTTCTTCTAGTATTTCATTAGGTAGGTCAATTTTCTGACACTCAGAACTCAATTTCTCATATATTATAAAAGGAGTAGAAGTCTTTATTCAAACCCACAACTCTACATAATCCATAATGCAGCTAACCCTGTATATGGCTGAGTCCAAGGAGCAGTTGAGAGAAAGAAGTCTCATTTCCTACCAGGGGGTATCATATTTCTGTTCTTTTAATCCAATCCCCAGGAACCTATCAACTTCATAGGAAGGAATTATTTTTTTAATCCCAAATGCTCTTGCTGAGAAATCTACCCTTTATTTAATATTTCAATTTCATCAGTGTAGCTATAAATATCCATTTTTAATAATTTCCATAATCTAGAAATGAAGGAGTAGAGAAATGAAAAAGAACAAAGAACAGTATGTAGGAGGTGTCTTACTTCATCTTTCCTCCCAAAAAACAAATTAAAGACGAATCTCTCTCTCGCTCGCTCTCTCTCAGAATGTAATGGCTACATTTATGAGTTTGGAATATAACTATATACAACTACAAGTATAAAAAAATAAAAATAGTATTTCTAACTATCAGTAATTAACATAAAGCCTTATTTGTAGTAATTACATCTTCTATCACACAGTTATAAACAAGCTAAATTTAAAGATCTAAGAAATATTAGCACTATCTGGTTACCTGAAAAGTAGCTTTATAATCTACATTTTACTTGGTATATAAACTAATGATATACCAGAAAATATGCTGACACATTCCTTCAGTGTAATCTGATGGGATATGACAGTTTTACCTACTCAACAGCAACCCAACTGGATGATAATGATTAATAACTCCAGGAAACCTTTTTATGAAGCATCACATTGCATGAAGACTAAAGAACAGAAAATTAAAATGGACTGAACTTTAGTAGAATAAGGGCTAAAAGGTAAATAAGGTTATCTAGAAGAATGTTATATCATGAAAATTTTGAATTCTCTTGAATCCTTAACTAAATGAGGAATATAAAAGTATGTCCTCATACTTCTGATAAAGTTACTAATAAAGCAAACAATACTTTCAGGGTCTCTCTGCACCATCAGAAATAATTTTAAGTTTTATACCATGTTAAAGTTTAGTTCTGATGTTAACGACAATCTAATAATTACAATGGCCTTTCAAACTGCCTATAATCCAAAACAACCTCATTTTTACAATCCTGAAAACTACACTGATTATCTTATATACCATCTCAGAATTTACTCTAAAAAAGACAAATACTGGACCACTAGTACATTATTATATACTCAATTATGCTTCATAATTTACAACTTATATACTCCTGGTTCACTATTTCATGTATCCACTGTACTAACATCACAATTAAGTTATTTATGAGAAGGGCCATATTTCATGTTTCCTTTGTATACCAGAGATGCTCAATAAACTACTTGTTGGTACAAAAGTGACCAAGTAAACAGAAATAAATGATTTCAGATCAACTGAAGGAACTGGCAACAGAGGTTTTTTTTCAAAAATGAGTTAATCATGGAAAAATTGCTCATTCCAAATATTACATGTTTTAAGTTTCATTTTAAATACTATATATTCTAAGAACGTACTGGATTTTGTGAATGTGTTCATGTTAGGTATATTGGATACTATGGTAATGCAACTTTTAAAAACAATATATACATTTGAGTCATATAGAGATTTTTAACTTCATGACAGCTTTCATAGGGTAACTTCATGTGAAATTAATATATACAAAATTTAATTCATTATCCAATATTTGAATATATGGTATTACAAATTTCAATTTTAATAAGACCTATGATACTCTACACTTATTTTTCCCTCAATAAATTTACTTGGTACTACTTCCCTGACAATCTGGCTATATAGGCCAATCGATATTAAAGTAGCTAATGTAGGTACTTTCCTAAAAACTTTATGTCAATTCTAAAGATATGCATCAGCAAGACACATCTCATTTCCTTAACAAATCACAGAGGCCCCCAAATGGTGTACTTCTGTGCAAAATACTGCAGAGTTAAGGGGAAAATGTTAAATACTTAGTGAAGTGACTAACAGCTTAAAAGTTACACAAAAATCTAGTTTAAAATAGGAATCTATAAAATGCTCTAAAAACTTTTAAAAATACAACTCAGAAACTATTTCCAAGGGTAAAAAAGCCAATTTAAAGGTATGAAACTTGATTTTAAAAATACAACAGAGTTGTATTACACCATGCAATGACTAAAGCAGTTTCAGGCTATTATCAAAATCTGGTTTATACATTTCTTTCATTAAACCTATCAAAGTATAACATATTTTTTAGCCTTCAAAAAAACAAAATAAAAATTTTCTTCCTGGACTTATATTTTTAATATAAATGTGTTTTATTTCAATTTAATAAAGGTAAGAGAATTCACCTTTACAAGTATTGGTTTCATATTTTAGTTTCTTACTGATATGCAGATACCAACAAACAGCATATACAGTCCCCCAAAGAATTACAAGGAAGTTACAGAAGCCTTTTGCTTCAAATCCCTACCTCCCATGTTTATTGCTCCACGGGGACCCATATCACCCATTCTCATTTCCTGTTCTCTCTGTAAGTAAACATAGTTGTCACAGTCAACCTATCGATCTTATGACTTTACATTTCCCATCTAAAATCAAAAAGAAAAGAGTGAAATGGGACATCACTTTCCATTAAAAATTTTGAAATTTTCCATCATCATTTACTTAACAAGAACACTGAAAAGAAACTTCAGTCTCCCAGGCTATATATACAGATATATATATATTAGTGTATATACATATATACACTACAAATGATTAGAGCACCCAGTTTATATTACACAATTAGTGAATTAGATCACATGAAATTAACCACAGATTATTTTTAATATTTTTATTTCAACAGATCAAAGACATATGCCTAGATTTCAGGCATTAAAAAATCTAGCAATAATAACCACTGGGGCCAATTATTTTTTCCTCCCAGGCCACTGAAGTCGTAAATTAGAAATGACTGTTATCATATGTATATTGAAATATATTCAAATACGCAATGCAAACAGCTTTAGAGCACTAAACTAAAAATTAAGTAACAATTTTCGTGGTCTAAATATAATTTATTCTTGTATATGTATTCAACTAGTCAAGCATTATTTCATCCAGCCTATAGATATAAAAGTCTCTACTCCACACAATTATTGAAAGCTCGACATAACACTGCTTTCCTATAACTGAGCAACAATTTTATGTAAAAACCTAAATTAAAGTATTACACAGCTGGGAAGTTTGGGAACAATGTGCCCTTGATATTAACGACAACACAACAGGTCATACAAATAAATGTTCAAAATGTTTGAAATTTTATTACAGAAACTGCTTCCTAAAAACTCTTCATTTACCAGTAATAGTTACATAGAATTAATTTTGATGAAATCTCTAGATGAAATTACTCAAGATATCACATTAAAATTGCAATTTTATCTCGGACAGACAAGTACGTTAAATATAGCAATCATGAAAAACATTCTATTATGAGACAAAAGCAGCAATGTTTAAAGAAAGGGTAATTGTACTTCTGAAAAGTAATCTTACTAAAATCTAAATGTTCATTTAAAATTGTATTTAATAATATAAAATACTGGTGAAAGCACTCATAATAGCTGGAAATAAAAGCCTATGATGGAAACATAAATGTTATTAAGCAGCAAATAGCTCCTTTAAAAAAATAATAAAAAACCTGCCTACCTAACCTAAATGGAGATATCCAAAGATAATCTTTAATGAAGTTACGGTACAATAAATGAAGTTATGGTACAACAAAAATAGCACCATGGAGGAAAAATGCTTTGTCACATTATTTAGAAAACTTAAATACCAAATCTTTCTAAAAGCTGTTTTTTAACTTTTCTAAAAATACATCTCTTCTCAAAAAACTTTTGACTATTAACGGATACTATTAATGACCAGGAAAAAAATACAGACTATAAGATAACATTGGCTACTGATTCAAGCATTATATGAAAAAACTATTTTAAATTAACACTTATCAATACTTCTCAATAAAGTAAACCAAGCTGCCAGCTCATCACTACTTAGAACCTACTGATTAAGGGAACACTGGTTTTCAACACACCCAAAATCTTCTATATAATCTACTATATGCATATAATATTTATACTATATATAAATAACAGCAGATATTTGTTACTGAGATCCTGGTTATATTCCAGCATCACAGAGTAAAAACATGACATAAATCATGACTTTTCGGGGGGAGGGGACATGGATTTAATTTATATTTTTATCTTTGGATTTGCCTTAAGTAAGAAAGGTTAGAAATGCAATGTCTAACTACTAAAAGAAGTTAATTATTATATTCTGAGACTTCAATTTTCAAATATCCCTAACTACCTCTAGCACTCTAGGAAGGGTAAAGGAGCATAAACAATCCTTTTTAATGTCTCTTTCAGCTCTATTCTCAGAAATAACTATTTAACATACAATTATTCACAAAGTACTTTGTTATTATTAAATTCATTTTCATTATTAAGAGAATTTCATGGGAAACTTTTTAACATGCTGGAGAGATCTATGATTTTAACTGTCAGTAACATTCCCCTTCTGATGCTACAATCTTTCTGTAAATGAAATAATCAGAATGCCTTAGAATATTCCATGTTAATATAACATATTACCATATAAAATACCAATTCATGTTGTTTATTACATTTTTCACTATATACACTTGTACTTAGTAATATTGACAGTATCTTAAAGAAGATTAATGAATACTATTTTACATAGCTTTACTCAAGTTTATGAAAAAGAGAATAATTTGATGATGATCACTTTGTAAGTATTTTAGAAGGAGCAAAATAAGTTTTCAGCTTCCTATGCATGTCTTCAGGATGCTGTTACTTTCTAGAAATCCACTGCTACATACTTCTAGTAAAATACAAAAGAGGTAGAGATTACATTTATTAAGGTGTTTTGTAAACTGAAAGACAGTATTTTTCACTACCACTTTACCATTTTATCAAATGTAAATACGGAAAATCACTTGAAGTTCACTACAACTGTGTCCCCACCCAAAAAACAATACACACGACCCTCATGTCTATGATTTAGTTTTAATGTATTTCAAATTAAAATGCAATTCAAATTAAAACTAGTACATGATATGTGATATTTTTACAAATTTTGATACCTTCTTACCAAAAATTAAGAGCTGTGATATAAGCTGAAACAACTTATTTCTAATCAGCATCTCAAAATACTGCAGTGCAATAAAACAACACTGTAACAAAAACTCAGCTTTCAATCCTACGAGGTAAGTCTACTGTTATACCATTTCAGAGATGACAAAACTGAGGCACAGAGATGTTAAATAACTTGGTCAAGATAATACAAGTAGTAATTAGTTGAGCCAGCCTATAACATTCTGATAAAATAGAATTCATAAGATTTCCACCTTCACCAGGTGCCTTCATTCTTTAATAATTCCAATAATTGAAACCTAACAAAAGGCAAGATTTCTCTTTTTTTTTTGAAAGAGGGTCTTGCCCTACCACCCAGGCTAGAGTGCAGTGGCGTCATTATACTTCACTGCAACCTCAAACTCCTGGGCTCAAGCGATCCTGTGTCAGCCTCCAAAAGGCAAGATTTTTAACTTATCCTTAATAATGTTTATAAGATTGTGTGCCTTTCCATGAAAAGAATTACATATATATTCCTAAAAGGTTGTCACTCAAGTGTACTTAAATTAACAGATGACCAAAAAAGGAAGCAAAAGTATGGCCCATTCCCAGAACCAGGTATCAAAGGAGCACTAAGAGTGCCCAAGATCCTTTCAGGAAATGCACAAAGTTAAAACTATTTCATGGCTGGGTACAGTGGCTTGTGTGGGTCAATCCCAGCAATTGGGAGGATTGCTTGAGGCTAGGAGTTTGAGACCAGCCTGGGCAACACAATCAGAAGTCTCTTGGAAAAAAAGAAAAGAAAACAGAAGAAATTAGCCAGGTGTGGTAGCCCCATGTCTGTAGTCCCAGCTACTTAGGAGGCTGAGGCAAGAGGATGACTTGAGCTCATACAGGCAGTTATGACCATGTATCACTGCATTCTAGCCTGGGCAACAGAGTGAGGCCCTGTCTTAAAAAAAAAAAGAAAAAACAAAAAATAAAACAACAACAACAAAAAAAAATTAAAAAATAAAAAAACCCACTTCATGTTTCTATTAACACTAAGACATAGTTATAATACTCTGCTCTTATGAAGCTTTTTACTATATCAACAATGGTGCAAAAGCAATGGCCGGGAAGTCTCAGTGTTTCAGCACAAATCAAGGTACTTGAACTCAATTTTTACTAAAACCACTGAATCTGTCACATGCATGAAACTTTAAGTTTAAAGATTTAAAGTATGAAAAAAAATTTTTAATTATGAAGATCTGGATGAATTAGTAAAAATTATTAATTTTATTAAATCTTGGATACATGCTTTTAATATTCTTTAAAAATATTTTTAAATAAACAATTTATTTTAAAAACAATTTATACACAAAGCACTCTGCATTCTGAAGTAGTGTGGTTATTTCAAGAAAAAGCATTTGTAATTGGACTGCATGCTGAATGAGCCACTTTTTTCATAAAATACAATTTTTTTCTTGAGATACTACCATCTGACAAACTATGATTACTGACTTGAATATTTGTCAGACATTTTCTACTGAGATCAATATTAAGAACTGTGACTTCTTTTTGACTTTCTATAATAAAATGCATTAACATTTGGATAATCTGCTTAGGTCACTGGATCAGTATTTTTCTATTGATTGGTACAGGACATTACAAAATCATGAGTGAGTAAAAGTTGAAGATAGAGCAAAAAATTTTAATGCAAAAGAGTACTTTTAAGATACTACCACTTGTTTAAGTTTTACTGTAGTATCAAAAATAATCCACCATTATCTAAAGAAATTAATGTATTTCTCCCTTTACTTATCACTTATCCATGTAAAGACAGGTTTTTCTTAATGTTTTTTAACCAAAAGAGCTTGTTGTAAGACATGGAATAAATATGGAACGCAAACCATTTTCTATAGAGCAGAACATTAAAAAAACGTAATACTACCATTCTTCCCACTACATCGAAGTTCAACATTAAAAATATTTGTAAAAATGTAAAATAAGGTCACTTCCCTATACAACAGATTTTCTTTAAAATTTATTTTAATTTCTAATATGGGATTTACTGATATAACCTAAACAAAAGCTCTCTGAAGTCCTCAATACTTTTTAAGCATGTAAAGGGATCTGGAAGCCAAAAGGTTTGAGAACTACCATTTTTAAACCTCCAGTGAGACTTCTTTCATGAAAATACACAATAGCATAAAACTTGTTCTAGTTCTAATGTAAATTAACCTAACCAATATTTCCCAAACAGTAGTAATAAATATGCCACGACCAGCACAAAACACTATTTTATTTAAAACACAGACTTTTTCCTATAATATCTAATACTTCTATCAATCTGTGGTTTTATTTATTTATTATGTTTTTTTTTTAAGACAGACTCTCAGACTAGAGTGCCGTGGCGTTAGCCTAGCTCACAGCAACCTACAACTCCTGGGGCTCAAGCAATCTTGCTGCCTCAGCCTCCCGAGTAGCTGGGACTACAGGCATGCACCACCATGCCCGGCTAATTTTTTCTATATATATTAGTTGGCCAATTAATTTCTTTCTACTTTTAGTAGAGATGGGGGTCTCACTCTTGCTCAGGCTGGTTTCAAACTCCTGACCTCAAGCGATCCACCTGCCTCGGGCTCCCAGAGTGCTAGGATTACAGGTGAGAGCCACCACGCCCGGCTCAATTTGTGATTTTAAACATGCAGGTTGAGCATCCCAAATCTCTAAGTCCAAAATCCAAAATGCTCCAAACCTAAAACTTTTTGGGCACCAAGATGATACCACAAGTGGAAAATTCATGTGATGAGTCCAAGTCAAAACTCTGTTTTGTGCACATATTAAGAATATTGTATAAAATTAACTTCACGATGTGTATATATGAAGTATAAATAAACCAAGTGTGGTAGCTCATGCCTGTAATCCCACCATTTTGGGAGGCCAAGGTGAGTGGATCACTTGAGACCAAGAGTTTGAGACCAGCCTAACACAGTAAGACCCCATCTCTACAAAAAAATTTAAAATAGGCCAGTTATGGTGGCGCACACCTGTAGTCCTAGCTACTAGAGAAGCTGAGGCAGGAGGATCCCATGAATCCAGGAGTTTGAGGTTACAGTGAGATGAGCAATGTTCATGCCACTACATTCCAGCTAGGTAACAGAGGAAAATCTGGCTCTTAAAAAAAAAGAAGAAGAAGAAGAAGAAAAAACAAACTTTTTCTTTAGACTTAGGTCTCATTTCATCTCTAAGAGATCTCATTATATATGCAAATATTCCAAAATCCAAAAATATGTAATCCAACATACTTCAGAGTCCAAGGCATTTTGGATAAGGGATACTGAACCCATATAATGAGGGATTTTCCCCCCAAGTTAACCTAATTTAAAAGAATTCCAAGGTACACAAGTAAGGCAAAAGTAAAGTCTAAGGATACAGTAAATCTAAGGATACAGTGAACTAAATAAAAACTGCCTTACCTGTGTCAAACTGGAACATTTTATGATCAATGACAAGATGTATTCACCTAACACTTTGATCAATTCAAATTCTTGAGTAAAAACAGTATTAATGACCACAATCAATATTCTGATTTAGTCACACAGACTTATACTAAAAATAATAGAGAACACTTACGTCCACTAAAAAATATGCAATTCTAGAGAAAAGTATAGTAAGTTTCAGTAGATAACAAAGATTCAGTTGCTTCTTTTTTCTGGACACAGGGTCTGGTCCTTGTCCTGTCATCCAGGCTGGAGTGCAATCACAGGTACTCCAGGGCTCAAGTAATGTTCCTGCCTCAGCCCTGAGTAGCTGAGACTACAGGTACAGGCCGCCACAACCAGCTTTGCTTTTTTTTTAAAGACACATTGTCTCACTAAATTGCTCAAGCTGGTCTGAACTCCTGGTCTCAAGTGATCTTCCCCATCTCAACCTCCCAAAGTGCTGGGATTACAGGCATGAGCCACCATACCTGGCCCAACTTCTTTATCATTAAATATTCCTAAAAATTAATTTCCCAAAAAATCAATTACATTTAGCACTTGTAAATATTTTAGTTAGCAAACTGCATTCTTTTATCTCTTCCTTAACTAGAAGTTTACATAAATAAGAGTATTAGTTAAATAGCCAAACTTCCATAAGATTAGATAAAAACTGTTAAGCATCCAGAATAGCTAACACAGCATATTTAGACATAAAGAAAGGGAAAAAATCAATTATATGAATGAAATATTAAGAAAACTTAACATTTTTAGTTCAGGCGATTAAAAACAATAATTTCTAAAACATTTTATTACTCACGCTAGATAGGAAGGGGGAAATTATTTTAAGAAAAAAGACAATCTTTTAACATATATATCCTAGGGTGGGTTTTTTCCCCTCAGTTTGAATACATGCATTCTAAAATATCTTTAAACAATGAAGATTAGGGGAAATGTTCCTCAGTTTTAAGATTTTTAAAATGAAACTTTACAACATATATTATTAGGCAATTGCAATTAACATGAGATAGCACTACCTGTCTATCAGAATGCCCAAAATCCAAAACACTAACAACAACAAATGCTGGTAAGGGTTGCAAGCAAAAGGAACTCTCATTCATTCATGGGAATGCAAACTGGTATAGCCATTTTGGATTAGAGTTTGGCAATTTCTTCTAAAACTAAACATACTTTTACCATCCAGTATAGCAATACTGCTCTTTGCTTTTTACCCAAAAGAGTTGAAAACTTAGGTCCACACCAAAACCTGCATAAGAATATTTAT